AAGGTACAGCGCATGCATGAAAATGACCCACTGGCACTTCCCCCTCCTGCACGAGCAGGGAGCGTTGACTGCTCCAGTGGGCTGGGCAGGCAGACCTTCGGCTTTATCAGGCCCCCAATTTGGTGTCTCCCCCCCTCTCACACTCACCACCCCCACGGGGTCCCTACCATCCTCACCTTTGGGTCTACCCAAAGACCAAAGGAAGGAAGCAAAGAAAGAGGTAGAGAAGGAAGAAAGGAGAGGAAGAAGGAAAAAAAAGGGAGGGGGGGAGGAAGGAAGAAGAGAGAGAAAAAGGGAGGGAAGGTTGGCCACAGCAATGCGTGGCGGGTACAGCTAGTCTAAATAAATAAAAATGTAATGTTTGTTTGTGGGATTAACAGAACCCAAAAAGCACTGGATGAATTGCTGCCAAATTTCGCCATAAGACACCTACTAACCCAAGGAGTGACCATAACTCAACAAAATTGATTTTGTCATTTGGGAGTTGTAGTTGCTGGGATTTATATTTAACCTACAATCAAAGAGCATTCTGAACTCCACCAATGATGGAATTGAACCAAAGGTGGCACACAGAACTCCCATGACCAACAGAAAGCCCTACAAGCGTTGGTATGCATTGACCTTGAGCTTAGGAGTTGTAGTTCACCTACATCCAGAGAGCACTGTAGCCTCAAACAACGAAGGATCTGGACCAAACTTGGAACAAATACTCAATATGCCCAAATATGAACACAGATGGAGTTTGGGAGAAATAGACTTTGACATTTGGGAGTTGTAGTTACTGGGATTTATAGTTCCCCTACAATCAAAGAGCATTCTGAACCCCACCGACAGAACTGGAGCAAACTTCCTACATAGAACCCTCATGACCAACAGAAAATATTTAAGGCTATCCAGTCCAACTCCCTTCACCAGGGCAAGAAAACGTAATCAAAGCCCTCCTGACAAAGAGCCATCCAGCCATAGATATAGATAGATAGATATGATTCTCACACACAGAGATATAGTATCCTAGATTTGAAAGTGACCCTTAAAGAAGGACAATGATATGTTGCATGTTCCAGAGTGGGCAAACCAGACAATCTCCACATCAACACTGACAAAGAAACAGCAGGAAATACTGTTTACCCACAAGCATAGAAATTACATGTATTAGAAACCAACACTTTCTCATTACTTTACTATCCCGATCACCAGACTGGGCCACAGCAACTCATGGCAGGGACGGCTAGTAATAGTAATAATAATCATCATCATCACAAACACCATCTGCCTGCGACAAAGAACTGGTGGGATCACAAGCCGGAAAGTTACAAAAAATGAACACGTCAAACTACTCTGAGACTTCCGAATTCAGACTGACAAGAGTTTTGGAGCACAATACTCCTGAACTCACAATTGTGTTAAAAAACAAGGTATGGATCGTCAATGCTGCAATCCCAGGTAACAGCAGGATTGAAGAGAAACAACTGGAAAAGCTGACACGATATGAGGATTTAAAGATCGAACTGTAAAGACTCTGGCACAAGCCAGTAAAGGTGATCCCAGTGGTGATTGGCACACTGGGTGCAGTGCCTAAAGACCTTGGCCTGCACTTAAACACAATCGGCGCTGACAAAATTACTATCTGCCAGCTGCAGGCCACTTTTTTGGGATCTACACACATTATTCGCCGATACATGACACAGTCCTAGACACTTGAGAAGTGTCTGATGTATGATCCAATACAACAGCCAGCAGAGTCTTCTTGTCTGCTGTGGACTCATCTTGTTGTGTTTCCAATAATAATAATAATAATAATAATAATAATAATAATAATAATAATAATAATAATACAAGCAACTCCAGGAGCCATCAAGTCCAACCACCTTCTAACATGCAAGAAAAGCACAATCAAAGCACCTTGAACAGATGGCCATACAGCCTTTGTAACAATTAATAATAACTATTTTAATTATAATACTAATAGTAATAGCAGCAGAAACCCCAGGGGCTATCCAACTCCCTTCTGCCATGCAGGAAAAGAGCAATCAACGCACCCCCAAAAATGGCCACTCAGCCTTTGTAACAACAATAGCAGCAGCAGAAGCCCCAGGGGCCATCCAGTTCATCTCCCTTCTACCTGCCATGCAGGTACTTCTTTCTACTCCCTTCTGCCATGCCATGCAGAAAAAGCACAATCAACACCCCCCCAAAAATGACCACTCAGCCTTTGTAACAACAACAACAACAACAACAACAACAACAACAACAACAACAACAACAACAACAACAGAATGCCCATGGGCCATTCAGTTCAACTCCCTTCTACCAATGCAGGAAAAACACAATCAAAGCACCCCCTGAGCAGTGAGAGGGAAATAGGGTTTGGGAAGCAAGGAAGACAACTGGACGGTGAGGGGGAAGGAGAAGGAGGGGGAAAGAGGAGGGAAAGCTTGGAGGAGGGTGAGGGGGAGTAGCAGTAGGAGGAGGATGGAGGGGAAGGGAAGCGCCGAGCCCCCTGGTATGCTTTTTGGAGCACCAAGGGATCCATGGAGCACACTTTCAGAACCACTAGTCTAGATCAGGGCTTCTTAAACGTTTCCCGCTTGTGACTCCTTTACATCCAAGAAATTTCAACAGGACTCCAGGTCGATAGGTATATAAGCTAGGTATAATAATCAAACATTTCCTGGTAAGAAATCGGCATTTGCAAGGCTTGCTAAACAGGCTGATTTTTCTTTTTATGACATACAGCTGAAGTATCGTCTGCAGAGTTCACTGTAAACATGGCATGTGTACATGTCTAAAACAGCCACCTTTTACTGTTGCATAATTTTTCTTGACCCCAACATTGAGCTAAGAGGACTCCATTTGGGGTCAGGACCCACAGCAGTATCTAGATGAGGCAGAGAGAGAGATCTGTGAGAGGAGTGAAAGAAGATGACCAGAGAGAAAAGGGGAAAAGACGGGTAGAAAAGCAGAACTTATGGACTCAAGAGAGAAGAGATGTAAACGACACACAGAACAACTAAACAGAGGAACGGGAGGAAGGAAACAGGATGACAGAGAAGGATGGCCACAACACAACCATTAACAGAGAAGAAGGTGACTGAAATGGGGAAAACAGAGAGAGAATTAGTATTCCCTGAATGAGTGGGAATTTACAAAATTGGGATCATTTTGTAGACCATCTATTAATTTTCTACATTTTAGTACATGTATCTTTGTATTGGTATAGCATTTTCTTCTTCTACAGTTTCAAAAAGTCAACTTGTCAAAGATTATAAAAGTTAAATTAAAGAGTAAAGAAATCAACAACTGAAAAAATAAAAGGAATAATAATAATGAATGTATTCACTTTTTCTTAGAGACAGAACCAGGTCTACTATACTAAATTAAGTTGTGTTTTTTTGTGGGGGTAAAGGAGGAACATTCAGTGCAGCATTAATTATTCCAAATATAATTCACTCTCTCCCAAAGGAGATTAAAAATACTATAGACCCATTAAGAAATCATACATGCATGTGTCTGTATGCTTAATTGTTAATTTCGACTTTATCATCTGGGACAGATTGGACTTCTTTGGATTGATTTGGAGGCCAAGGTCATCAGTGAGGAGACTGCAGTGTGAAGACATATGTGAAATAATTTCTATGATCCTTTGACTAACAATCAGAGAAATAATGATGCCCAGAGTCCTTAGGTTTGTAGCCACTGCCTTCACTAAACTGAAAATGTTTGGCATCTATTGCAAATCTTAGCAACAGGAAAGATGGAACGAAAGTAGGAATGCTGAAGGTGCAGAATGGTGAATCAGTATGATTTCCCATTTGGCTGTGGAAACCCACTAGGTGACCTTGGGCAAGTCACACACTCTCAGCCCCAGAAAATCTCATAGCAGTGTCACCTTAGGTTTGCAATAAGTGATACATGACTTGAAGGCAAACAACAATAGGTTACAAATGGACACAGTGCTAATGGCCGAGTTTGAGTCAAGGCTTGAAGAAACAAAACAGAACTCTCTCAAAGCATTGTATACAATCTAGCAGCTTGGTTTTTATGATTTTGTAGTGTTTAGGTGTACTGTTTATGAAGTTTCCTTCCCAAGACAAAGGCAGCACCTTTGTCTTGGGAAGGAAGACAAAGGTGCTGCCTTAAACACTCAGGAAATACAGTTTAAAGAAGTCTTCAAACTCATAGGTCATGGCCATGGAGCACATAAACCAGTGTAGCAGGAAAAAAACAGTCCACAACTCAAATACCTTCTCAGACCGACAAAAAATTATGATAGTTTGAGTTCAACGTGTGAGCGCAATGTTCCAATTGCTGTTCACCGAACTCCAGATAAAAAGGAATTGAGGTAAACCAGAGCAAAACAGACCTGACACCCATGATATAATACTGTACTATGAGATCCCACTGAATGATATTGACTCCACTATGGAAGGTTCTCAAAGGTCTTCACAGGCACGGTGAAAACCCACATGTGTGACACAAAGACTGCAAGGAAAAACAAAGCATCCCAACCCTTTAAAGTAGTCATTTCATTCTTCGTCGTATTTCACATTGTGACATAGGTCCATCATTTGCATGGGGGGAAGACCCTGAGCTTTAATTAATGGAAACCACCTGTCTAAACACTATTAGATGATCTGAATTTTTTTAAGGCCTAAGCAGAAATGTTATCTTTACTTAAGTTTTTGCAAATGTTCTCTCCCAGCTAAGAGGGTTTACTACAAAGAATAAAACTGGCATTGTTTTTCTGTTATCAGGTTACAGTAGCTCGGGTCTCTAAGCACCAGGATACTCATATAGCTGATCAGTTACAGCTGTTAATTGTGGAGCAGAGGGACCAGCTGACATCTGCTTCTTCCTTGGTTAGTTAATGGTTCACTTCCAGGTCCTAAAAGGATTGTAGCCTCCCTCAGAAGAACATGTCGGACCCCATCTATGTCTGCCTTCTACACTGCCTGTCTTATTCTGGAGTGTCCATACAATGCAAATTGAAGTGAACTCACATCTGCCACTGATCGACCCAATTCGTGAGCAATCTTTTCCCATCGACCAGGTGTTCCTCCTGGGAACTTAACCATACTTCTTGTCAGTTGGCTAAGGTCCTCTTCTGTCCAGTCAGGTGCCTGTAAAATATTTGTAGAACATTTGTTACATGAGGAAACTAGAAGGATTTTCAGTCTGTCTCAAAATGCCACAGGACTTAAGCAAAGTAATTAGACAAAGGATATGAATTGCAAACATCACAGTTTCATGGTTCATTTAACAGCACCTACTTCCTCTAGTTGCATAAAGTAACGGAACAACCAATGTATTACATATACATGGATCAATTTTATCTGCTGGATATATATTACATAGGGACAAACTCGAGACACATCAGGACTGGAAAGGCAAGTTGAACATTTTGTAATATGTTGGATCAAAGTTAGACCAATCTCTCTGTGTGCCTATGTACATGGCATAAACACACACAAGACAAAAAAAATCCTCAAAACCTACCATGCTGAGACATTAAAAATGTCAATATTACCTGCCTTGAGATAGTCAAATTATGAAATAGCATATAAAATCAATTTGCTGAAGAGAATTCCAGAAATATAGAAATGTGAAGATCAAGAATTTACCCCAAAACAAAGGCAGAAATAACAGAGAAAGTGTTGTTTTTTTGTCTTGGAGGAGGGGAGAAATGCAGGCCATGTCTTCCCTGCTGTTTCCCCCCCCCCCCTCGTCTTTCTGGGCCTTCTCATCTCTAACACTCTTACATTTTAAAACGGTGTAACAAATCTGCCGAGTTTATCTCTGACACGAAAAAGGATTTGTGGAGGTAGCGTTCAATGTGTTAAAAGCAGCCAGGCTGAATAGCTTCTAAGCCCGGTTCACACACAAGAGAAGCGGAGAGGGAACCCCTCCCTCTTCTCAAAGAGGCCAATACATGACCACCCATTGCAAACCAACTCCAGCTCCTCCTTTCACGACAAATCAGAATTTTTTTAAAGGCAAAAGAGCAGTGGCTCTGTATAGGGACGCCTTAACATTCAACATGTAAGCAGCTGTTTCCACCTTCCCTTTTCTCTTCGAAAAGCCATCTGCAGCAGGCTTCCTCTGCCCTGGCACGGGCAGTAAGCAACAGCTTCCCATTTCTATTTATTTCTAAAAAGAGCCCCTTTTATGACAAATACCTCCCCTAATCACCATTTCCGATAATGAACAGGCAGGCATCAAGCAGTTTGCATTACAGAGCCATCAGCACAGAACAACAGTCAGAGGTGAATGACCCCAGAGACCATCTCCACAGCTACGGCAAAGCTTCGGCCTGACACTAATCCTGCCTGTCATTCTCCCACTGTGCTCCAACCACGCTGACGTCCGCCTGCTGCACCACAAGCTTAAACGGGGCCCTTCCTGACTTTTTACTGTCTCCCCCAATCAATGGCTCAAGCGTGCTCTTTTCACCATGTCCAAATGGCAGCTTCACTCATAATCAGAGTGCTTGGCTCCTGTTTAAAGGGCTTCCCAAAGGCGCTGCCATTTGCATTCATTTGCAAAGCAAACTACTTTTATTCACTTTATCCTGCTATCACGAATGCTCCCTGAAGCAGAGAAATTGGCATAAATATACAGCTCGCTGCTTAGGAGGCAGTAAATAATAGCCAATAGTGGGAAGGATTTTATCAGTCATCCCTCATTTTGGGCCTATGTATGTATTTGTTCCTCAGATGCCAAAGAATTATATCTGCCCATATTTTTTGTACAACCGTTATAACTCAATACAGGGCTCAACACTGCATGTGTATGGGTTATATCTTAAAGAAGCATGTATTTTTCACCTCTAAGGAGAAGGGGAGAAAAAAAAATCACACCAGGAACACATGCATACATTCACACAAGCCGTGCAATAATAAAATTGCCAGTGCTTTGGAGAATGAAAGGGACCCTCCGTGGAAGTAAGATAACCTTCAACGAGAAGTAATTCCATCACCATCATTCTGAGGGCAACATTTATCAAAGCTATTCATGTTCAACCAATGATCCAAACACCATAGCCTTAGATGTACACTATTGGCAGGAGCCAAGCAGTTCTTCAAGGTATATATTGCTGCTTACTTTGCATTAAATGGCAGTCTAATCATTGCGGAAGTTCTGGAAAGATTCAGAGGGGAAGGGTATCTTATCAGATGGATGTCAGAAGGATTGATGCCTGTTGCACTAGAGCCCTGAAACACCTTTCCACCACAAACCACACTCTGTCTAGATAATCCAGTAAGTAAAAGTTTATTCAGAGAAGAGTATATAAAAATAAGCATATCTAAAAATCAATTAATTGATTAATTTATTGATTGTTTATTATGCCATTGTTTTAATTGTTTTAAACTGTTTTTATGATGTTGAGCATTGAATTTTGCTATTGTTAACTGCTTTGAGTCACCCAAGGGCTGAGAAAAGTGGTATATAAATGGAATAAATAAATAAATACATAAACAAAAAGGAGAATCAAAGTTCAAAAAGTTATTTCCAAGGTAGCCAAGATTCCAAAATCTTCTCAAATATAGTCCGAATACACTCTGCACTTTATATGTTTTAATCTGTTTTATTGTTCTATGTATTTTATTTGCTCATGTATTTGAACTGTTTTATAGTTGGATGGGATATGTTTTTATTGTTATGTTTACATGTGGCATTGAATTTTTGCTGGAGTTTGTAAGCCATCTTCAGTACCCTGTGGGATGAGAAAGGTGGGGTATAAATGAAGAAGAAAAAATAAATAAGAGTCAATCAACAGATATTAATAATAAACTTTATATACTGCCCTTTCTCATCAAAGGGACTCAGGGCGGTTTCCAACATGTAAGGCAACATTCAATGCCAAAAAATAAAAACATTCAGACAAATTACGTCAGGACAAATCATATTAAACAATATAACAGCAACATAACTCTAAACTTAATAACATATTAAATAACCATCAGTAAGAACTTAAATGATCAAATATATCCATAAACATGATAGCATGAATCCCAGGCAGGCAACCTATGCTACATGTGAACTAGAAACAGGAACAAACTTAGAAACTTGAACTCATGAATACAAAAACATAAGACCAGGAACCGAGAGCTGTTAACCTGAATACAATGTTGCTCTCACAAAGGATTGTAGTAGCACAAAACCACTCAAAAGGCTTCAATACTTCCTATGACATCATTCCTCACATACCTGCTTTTCCTCTCCTTATCTCTAAGCCACTGGGAAAAGCGAGTCAGTCTCTATTGTACACTCTGTGTCTGAAGATCCAAGCACCCTGATCTGAACAAACATTTGTCTCCCACATTTCTCTCAGCTACTTCTGGCAGATTCTCATTAGAACTGATATCACTTTCTCCAGTCTCACAGGAACTGATAGGAGATTCCAAAACCACTCTCTCCAGGCCACTTCTATCCTTCTCTGGGTCCTCCAAATTTCTCCCAGCATCCCCTTCCTCATCTTTTGAGTACTCAGAATCTGACCAGGCTGCAACAATGCCCATCAGGGTAGACATGTGGTTCTTGGGATCTTATTCTATATACTGTCAACTCAAAAGTTAATCAGAAGCCTTCCAGGTGCTTGTATACACCCAGTCTCTCTAACCTGCAGTTCTCTGTAACTACTAGGATATTCTGTATGAAATTAAGAGAACATAGACAACTGTTTCCCAATTGAAAGCTTTCAATCAGATCCTGCAGTACTTTTCAAAAACACAAATTTAAGTAGAGCAAAGTAAAAGTCTGCACTTTTTTGAAAAACTTAAAAGGAGAGGAATGGTTAAGTGAAAACACTCAAAAAGAACTTTCCCATAAATTATCTTTCACATATATAAAATGTAAGAACACAGAAACAACAAACATGTTTCCACTAATAACAAAATAAACAAATGTTCATCATATTTTAAAAAACACAGAATAAAGAATTTCCACTTTGTCTGATCAAAAAAGCAGTTGTAAATTTAATTGCACTGGATTATAGTTTGGAACCCAATAAAAACCCCACACAAATATGTATGCTTGCACACATCATGAGCTTTCTAATTTTGTTTATTCCAACATAATTCCTTTACTATTTGCCAGAAAAATCGGGCTAGGTCAGGCCAAAAGTAAGACTCCTATATCCATAAGGGATACCTCTTCCAAGACTCTCTGTGGATACCTGAAACCATGTGGAAAATCCTATATGTGTTCTGACTATACTTGGATGGAAAGTACACCCCAGGCCACAAACAGTTCTAGGAAGGAATATTTTTTCGAGTGTGGGCAAGTAAAATCATGGATATCTGTGAATAAAGGGGTCATGCTGTATCACTTTGATATTTTTAAAAAATCATTAATCTTGTAACAAACAGACACTATAGATACTTCAATGTTGCTATTTCTTGAAAAATTGCTTCTTCCATACTTTCAATATTTCCAGAAATTCTACATCTCTAGATAAATGAAAAGAGTTGGATTGAAGCCAACTGCTGATTAAACTTCCATGAGTTATAAACAGATACAGCTCCATAAGATCAAATGCAAATTAAATCAAAGAGGCATGTTAAAGCATAGATTCCTATGTCACACAGGTTTAACTAAAGCCTTCTTTTATCTTCTTTACTAAATATGAAATTTACCTATTGTATGCATGTGCCTTCAAGTCGCCTGTAAACTTATGGTGACCCCCATGAATGTCACAAGATTTTCTTAGGCAAGGAATACTCAGAGGCAGTTGGCAAATTCCATCTTCTGAAATACAGCTTTTACAAAGATATTATAAGAAATGCCTGCAATTAATTCTAGTGGGTTGTAAGTGAAGAATTTACAGCTTTAATCTCAAACAAGTACCCTAAATTCTGCATGTCTGAATTGTATGTCATGTGACAATATTTACATGTAAGCGTAGTTTTCCATACAACACCATCAACATCCTAAAGGCACCTGATCCTGTGTGATCCCTGGAAGCTAAGCGGGGTCAGCTTTGCTTCAGAGCTCTTGTGGTGTAATCACTAGGATCCAACTTGTCATGTCCAGCATTCTGTTTACCCATTGTAAGCTCCTTTGCTGATGTCAGAAGGGGATACCCACATGACAAAGAAGAAGAAGACAACCTTGCCCCTCT